TGTCACTAGGGGTGGACTTTAAAGTTTCAAAAGCCCAAGCCAGGCCCAGTGGCTCTCTCTTCCTACTGCCTGCAGATCTGGATGTAGAACTCTCAGCTACTCGAGCACCAAGTCTGCATGCCTGCTGCCATACTCCCTATCATGATAATGGACTAAACTTCTGAAACTGTAAGCAAGCCCCAATTAAATGTTTTCTTTTATAAGAGTTGCTATGGTTGTGGTGTCTCTTCACAGAGAACGTTAAGACAGGCACTGAGGATATTATTTAATTGGAGAGCTGTATATCCATTTTGCCAGAGAAAAGGGATGACTCCCTTTGGCAGACAGGAACTGGCTTCATAAATTCCTGAGGAATGCTGGCTTTTATCTAACCACCCCAAATCCTCCTGTAGTCTAGGTTGAGCTTATTTCTGAGTATTTGGATTGCCTTTTGGAGTCTGGGGAACTGGAGTTCCCTTTGGACTTGACAGTACCTAGCTTGGAAGCTGTACAGCATGGTAGGTAGTTCTCAATGCTGGCTGCACAGAAGAATAAAGGCAATCGAGGAAGAGGTTAGTCACATTCTGCAGTGCTGTGTGACTCCAGGAGGACAGTATGTGCACCTTTCAGGGGCATGACCGGCATGACCGGCCAGGCCATGTGGCTTGGTAAAGCCACAGAATGCCACTGAAGAACTAGAGAGCAACATGAAGTCACTAGGTGCCTTCGTTTGTTGACTCTTTTTAGCCCTAGAGAAGTTGTAACATTTAGTCATCTACCTCAGATAGCTTAATCGTCTACAGATAAACTGAGCATAGGCACATTAACAGGAGAACAAAGAATGTGTCTCATTAGCATGTAGAAACAGAAGTCACGGGAAAGGCAAGATGCAAAGGGTTGCTAGACAGACCCTTGGAGCTTTTCTAGAGCCAAACAAATGGTTAAGGGGCTTGGGCACCTGGGGGAAGGATGTAGGAGGAGCCATACTGAGAAGAGCTTGTAGTGCAGATGAAGTGTCCCAGGAAATGGCCACTGGGGGAGGGGCAGGGGCCATCTCTGACTGGGCCAGGTGTCAGAGCCCAGATCTCTTCTTTCTCTGAAATGATGGTAGGGCAGAAAGGAGGTCCCAATAGAGAACCAGTACCCACTGGTTATTTATGCGCCAACGCAGACTTCTTTTATAGATGTAAATCCCTTATATGAAAAGGTAGCCTCTTGGAATAATTGCTGTGTTTGGAGAGGTCTGTAGATTATCTGGATAATAACCAACTGGAGGAATTCCAAAGACATACATTAGGGTGGGGTATTTGACTCTCGCACAGTACAATTATCTTCATGCTATCTCTCCAAGTGGGCTGGGGGTTCCTTAAAGGACCAAATAGTATCTCCTATTTCCTTATGAGTTTAACGTTATAACTTAAATTTAGTGGGTAAAGTTTCTTTATAAAGTCTAGCAAATAGTATCCTAAAAGCTCCAGCCCATTAATGACGGTAGAGACTCTCTACATCCCACTCTCTCCCCTAGCTTTTATGACTCTCGGATGCTTCTCTGTATTACTGATAACAGTATTTTTTCGTGTTTATTCTGCACCAGGCAGAGACCACTTGCTTCCTTTGAATTAACTGTATGCTGTCCAAAACGAACAATGGGAAGCCAAGAAAGGTTAAGCAATTTAATGTGGCTTTTAAGTGTAGATAGCCCTTGGTAAGGTTTAAATTTACTACCTGAGCACATCAGTTTTGTGTGCTAAAAAAAAATATTGTTTACTTTCCATCTTTGTTTCCTGTTGAAAGCAAAGAGAAAATAAAGCTCAGTTCTACCACGTTTCTGATAACAGCTCTGAGATGGGAGAGAATCCTGTTCAGGTCACCTTCGGAGAAGCCGTTCTGCATATGGCCCTCCTGCTCTCCCTGGCCTTACACAGAACTCACCTCACACATGCTATTATAAAATTTCTCCCAAGCACCCTTCTAGTTTTTAATCAGTTTCCATCCCTGTAGAATAAGCATTCAGGAGAGAATGCCCAGAGTCGGGAGGGTGGGGGTAGGGGGGGACACAGACTCTGGGTTAGGGAGTGAGAACCAGGAAGGGGAGGAATGTTCCCATAATTTATATTTGCTAATATGAGCACATGAAGTTGGCAGTAAGTGGAGAGCACTCTTAAGACACACAGTTTAAATAAAAAATGTTTAAAAATACTTCCCAGAAGCCCACAAAGCAAATATGAGACCCACTCAGAGCTCCACCTCCCTTTCTGTCCCTGAGCCCTGGGTCTCTGGGTGAGAGGTTCCCAGTCTTACTCGGTGCCAACTTCCTTTGTTTTATGCTTCTTTTCAAAGGGCCTCCCAAATTCTCTTCCTTGTTACACAATTCAAGGGATATACTCCTCTCTGGGTAACCAATAGCCACAGGGATATCTTTCACCCCAGAACCTCCCCTGTCCCTACTCCTGTTCTACTATTGTAAAGACAAGTCATCTTCCCGGCTTGTTGTGTTCTTGGGGTTCTAGGAATCTGGGAAGGTCTTCCTTCCCCCTTCCTGCTTTGCTGGTTTCTGTCAGCCCCCCTTTGCCCAACTTAGCTCTGTTGAAGAAACATTTGCCATAGACCTCTCTGGCTCCTCCAGTTCCACCCCTCTCTTCTCTTCTAGAATGACATGGACAACTAGAACATATTCCAAGTCATCTTCATAGTCCGCAACTCAAACCAGAAGTCTAGAATGAGAAATTACAAGAGTCTTTTATGGGAGGCAAGGACGAACTTTAGAGAATCACCAACCTGAATGTGAAAAACCTCCAGGTGCATGTTTGGATAGCGGGAGGAATTTGCACTAAGGCAAAGCAAACAAAGACTTGGTGGAATTTTGTTGAATATTTTCACAGCGGTGCACTCAAGTCCCCTAAGCAGTAACAACCTGCTGGATTCGTTCACCCACTGCAGGAAGACGAGTTTTGAAAACAAGAAGCAGCACCCACTTCATGAGGTTCCCGAGGATTTTAGAGAGCATGGAAACATGGGAAAGTGCAAGAGCAGAAGCCAAATGGCTACAGAGTGTCTGAAAAACACAACATTAGCAGATTAAAACAAAAACTTATCAGTAAAAGCAGTATTCAGATGTTCTCACTGGATAAGAAAAGAATACAAATTGAAACAGCTTCTAAGCAGAACTTGATGTATCTCAAACAGAGAGTGTGAGATCCTCAAAGCGCAGGGCAAGCACCATAACAGAAAACAAGTGTGCAACAGAAATAACAGCTGGGCTTAGAATCTCTCTTTCTGGAGCAAGAACTTGGAACTTTTGCAAGGTCTGATGCAAAGGTCCCTACCTTTGTTACCTGGCTCACTGTCTCCAAGGCTTAGAAACAGAGACAGCTCAGCCTAGTCCAGCTAGGATAGCCAAGCCTGCAGAGGACCCTATCTGATGATGGTCTAAGAAAGTGTAAGATACTGATGACACAACCCACACCAGGTCATTTTTTTATTAAGGAATTTTTAAATTCATTTTACATACTAATCACAGATCCCCCTCTCCTCCCTCCTCCCGTCCCTCCTGCCTTCCCCTCTCAACTCACCCCCCATTCTCTCCTCCAACAAGGCAAGGTCTTCCATGGGGAGTTCACAGAGCCTGGTACATTCAGGTCCAATACATACATACATGCATGTATGTATTGGAATGGCTACCCACTACATATACATACATACATACATACATACATACATACAGGCAGGCAGGCAGGTCCAAGCCCCTCCCTCTGCATCAAGGCTGGGCAAGGGGTCCCGCTATAGGTAGTGGGCTCCAAAAAGCCAGCTCATGCACCAGGGATGGATCCTGATCCTACTGCCAGGGGGCCCCTTAAGCAGATCAAGCTACACAACTGTCTCGCTTATGCAGAGTGTCTAGTCCAGTCCCATGGAGGCTCGACAGCTGTTGGTTTAAAGTTCATGAGTTCCCACTAGTTGGTTTGGTTGTCTCTGTAGGTTTCCCCATCATGATCTTGATGCCCCTTGCTCACAGAATCCCTCTTCTCTCTCTTTGACTGAACTCCTGGTGCTTGGCCTCACATCAGGCCATTTTAACCAGCATCCAAAGATATGGGCCTGAAACACCGTTGTCCTTCAGGCATAACTAAATATCAACTTTGTGTGTGTGTGTGTGTGTGTGTGTGTGTGTGTGTGTGTTGTACATATATGAATGTGTGAATGTAGAGGTAGAGGTCAGGGTAAGATATTGGGTGTCCTTGTCTATCTGTCACTCTCTACCTCATTGCTTTAAGGCAGGCTCTCTCACTGCACTGGAAGCCCAGGTTTTTATGTCGATCCTGGGGATTCACTCACACTTAGGTCTTCCTGCTTGCATTGCAAGCGCTCTTGTCCACGGAGTCATCTCTCCAACCTCCTGCTACCATCTTAATGAGAGCAACACAAAAACCTCTCCAAAATAGACCTATTGATGTGCAGAAGGAGGGATGGGAAGTCATTAGTCCCTTTCCTCGGACCCCAGCTACTCCCTCCCTCCCTTTCTCCCTCCCTCACCCCCTCTCTGTTTTTTGGTGTTTTGAGACATGGTTTCTCTGTGTAGCCCCGGCTGTCCTGGAACTTGATCTGTAAACCAGGCTGGCCTCAAACTCAGAGATCTGCCTGCCTCTGCCTCCTCAGTGCTGGGATTAAAGGTGTGGGCCACCACCGCCTGGATACATCCTCCCTCTTGTGCCCTCCACCTCCAACTGCAAATGGGTCTCTAAAGATGCTAGTGGATAGACAGAATGTTAATCGAAGGGCATTCCATCTATGAAACTCCCAGGAGGTTGCCACTTACACTGAGATGTGATTTTGGGGGTGATGCGGGTGCTTTGGGGTCACCTGTGTCTAACAAATTCATTAGTTCATCAAGCTGGACTTGAATGGTACTGTTACTTTGGGTGTCTTCTCTGGGCCAGGTAAGTGTTTTTTCACATCTCCCCAGGAAACTTAAGTCATTAGACATTCAGTGGTTAATTTTTGTCTTTTTCATTTCTCCCAAGGGTGACTTTAAAGGGCTCCTGAGATTGTTACCTTCAGCAGAGGAAGCAAGAAGAGCCGTGCCTGGTGTGCATATGGACTCATATGCCAAGGCACCCCTTCTGACTATGGAGCTTGGTAAGTGTGGCTGCTTGATGACTGTGAACCCTTCAGAACATCTTCCATAGCCTGAATGGGGAAATATCTTCTGGCATTTCTGCTGAGCACAGTAAAAGAGTCAATTTGGCAAAGGGGTACTCGTAGGGATTAGCTTAAAATGTTCTGAGAAAGGAAAGGCCGTCAAGGTCAAACTTTTCATGCCTTTGGTTGCTTGGCCTCAGGATGATGCCGGCTGGGGCTCTATCCTCCCACAATCAGTCCTCTGTAGAGCGGAAAAAAGTGAGGAGATTGATTGTCATGTGATAGTAGAAGAGGCCTGATAGCCAATAGAAGAATGGCTAAAAGGACCATTCTAAACTTGGACAACCATGATTTGATTCTTACCTCTACTCTTTCTAGTTCTGTGATTTCTGGGAACTTCTGCATGTATTTGAAATTTCTGCATCTATCAATGCCTAATTTGGTCTAGATATTGTGAGTAACAGTGCTGAGGAAATCCATGCTGGGTCTCATGCAGAAATGACCCCACAACAGTTAAGGACGAAGGCTCTGGAGCCAGACTGTCCTAAGCTGAATTGTAACCCCACTACCTGATCATAACCTGATGACTTCGGCAAATTACTTACTCTTTCTGTGCCCCAGGTCTTTCTGATCCATCAAACTGACATAAAGATGAATTGACCTAACACTTACATAAGCTTAGGAAGTTACCAGTTTTTGCCTTTTGTCCTCTTTTCAGACCCTCTCAGAATTTGTAGCTCCCCCTTAACATTAAAAAGTGAGGAAGACTGGACACTCAAGTACATGGTCGCTGTAGCTGATCACTTAGAAAAAAGCTTGACATGTAGTGAGCACTAAAAGTGTGTTTGCTCATAACGTCAGCCCTTAAAGCAATGTCACCAAATAGAAATATAATGTAAGTTGAATAATAACCTTTTAATTTTCTATTAACATCCGTTTTGGTGTGTGGTGCTAGAGACTGAACCCAGGACATTGTGCCTGCTCTAAGGCAAGCAGTCTACTACTTTATCTAAATACCCAGCTCTAGTAACCACATTTTTTAGATCAAGAAATAGGTATAATAATGTTGACAGAAAATACTGACATTTCTATTCATAATCAATATAAAAACAGGATTAGTGAGACTTCCATTTTTTTTTTCTTCCTACTAGCACATACAACTGGGTACATTTTGCATTTTATAGTATGTAGTAGATTGGGTACCAGGGAAATCTGTAGCAACTGTCACCATCAAACTAACAGGATAGCGCTGAGGATCAGCACTCCTTAGTCACGAGAGCCTTAAAGCCTTCCCAGCTTTGTAGTGCCAAGACCCAGATGCTCAGTTCGCCTGTTGCCTTCTGCAAGCAGGGTACGGATGCAGGGCTTCCTGTAGCCTGATCTCCTGAGCAGGTGTGCAACTTTGCTGAGACACAAAGTAGAATGGCCTACCTTTAGAAAGGCATCTGCCAGCTTTCTGGTAAGTCCAAAACCCACAAACCAATCAGTGTTTGAAGCTGCTTGACCACCACCACGGTCTTGCTAAATTTTGCAATCTAAAGTTACTTTATTAATGTTTTCCTGCGTTAGTGACTTCATCCTGGGAAATATAAAAAGAACGTGTTTTCTCTCTCTCTCTCTCTCTCTCTCTCTCTCTCTCTCTCTCTCTCTCTCTCTCTCTCTCTCTGTGTGTGTGTGTGTGTGTAGATTTCCTCCCAGCCTTCTGATTCTATTATTGTTTTTCCCCTTCTTCTCTGGACTGGCTCCAGAGCCCCACATTTCTCTCAATCTGGCTGCTTTTTGCTAGACAGAGTGGGGGTCAGATGTTGACTGTGAGCCAGTGTCCCATCACTGTAACAAAATACTAGAGATAATCAAAACTATAAAAAGATAAGCTTTCATTAATTAATTTGGGCATTTGAGATGAGGTCTCATGTAGCCCGGTCTGGCCTTGAATTCACCATGGAGATAAAGATGACTTTGTACTTCTGATTCTCCTGCCAAGAGCTGAGATTACTGGCACGTGCAACCACTCTTGGCTGGAAGCCTTATTTTAGTTCACAGGTACAGAGGCTGCAGTCTGCAATCCATGGGCATGGTGCTCTTGGGCTGTGGCAAAGCATCACATGATGGCCAGTGCTCACAGCACAGCCAAGCTGCTTGCTTCACAGCCAGGAAGCAAAAATAAAGATGGAGATACTTGGGTACACAAACCTCTTCACCGGTACATACGCTGGGACTGAAACGCCTCTCAGAAGTTTATACCTCCTAAAGTTTCATCATCTCCCGATAACACAGTCCTGAGAGGTCAAGCCTTGAGCACACACATGGACATCTCAGATCCAAACTGCAGCATTCACCACACACCAAATAAAGTGGATGGTGTTTGGTTATGGCATGATATTTCCTTAGGCAGGAATGGGTAGTTTTTATCTTAATTATCTCCAAATGTTCCTAATCTGAGGAGAACCAATACTGTTGAGAGATTGAGCAAGGGAGAAGAGATGTGATATTATTTAACTTTAAAAACAAAACCCGAGTCTTCCCAGTCACTGAATTTCATTCATGAAGTCCTACTAAGTGCTAGATGGCTACACCCTTTGGAGTTTACAATGAGGTTGGTGTGCCAAGAGAATGATTAGAGAAGGCTGTATCCTAAAATCAACAAGGTGGTTTTGCTTATAAAGGCTCTGCTAATTAAGAATAGGCTTAGGGGTTTGAACTGAAAAGGTTCTGAGAGGCCATGTAATTTGATGTATGTAGCTGGAAGTTTTCCTGTGTCCCACCTGGCCCATGGTCAGGACAAATCTCTCCCACTCACATCCTCCAAGTAAACACATAGAGGCTTATATTAATTATTACTGCTCGGCCATTAGTTCAGGCTTATTACTAACTAGCTTTTACAATTAAATTAACCCATAATTCTTATCTGTGTTTAGACACGTGGCTTGGCACCTTTTCTCAGTTCTGCCTTGTCATCTTACTTCCTATGTGTCTGGCTGGTGACTCCTGACTCTGTCTTTCTTCTCCCAGAGTTCTCCTTGTCTGCTGATCCCACCTACATTTCCTGCCTGGCTACTGGCCAATCAGCATTTTATTTATCAACCAATCAGATGAACACACATTCACAGCATACAGAATGATATTCCACAGCAGATGTATGTTCTTTTATTGGTTAGGAGAGTAAGACCAGAAGAGGTTAAAACACTTCAAGTTCAAAATGAATGCATCTGAAGCCAGTGGTGGTGGTTCATGTCTTTAATCCCAGCACTCGGGAGGCAAAGGCAGGCTGATCTCTGTGAGTTTGAGGCCAGCCTGGTCTACAGAGTGAGTTCCAGGATAGCCAGGGCTATACAGAGAAACCCTGCCTGGAAAAACAAAACAAAACAAACAAACAAACAAATGGATCTGAGCATCTGGTCTCCTTGCTCTTAGTATTCATTGCAATATATATTGTGCCACAGTCACCTTGCTGGGGATAAAGGAATGCACCCTGTTTATCCCACTGAATTTTAACAGACTTTAGACAGCAGATGCTCACTCACTTCATTCTTGCTGCCCATTTACAGTCTCAGACATATTCAAATATCCCGAGCTCAGTTGGCATTTTTAAGACTTCTGGGTCAAACAAACAAATAAAAACAAAATGGTGAGCTGTTACTTAACCCCAAACTTAACCATTAATTTCCACGCTGGAGGGAGAATTTCAGCTGTTGGGTGAAGGCGAAGACTCCAGCTAGAGTATATTGGATGTCAATTTTGGCTTTGAAAAGAGTGAATCTGCAAATGGTTTTGGCACAGTCTTCCTTTCACACAATGCCTCACACGTATCAGACCTGCTGATGAGGGCTGGGTTATAAACTAACGAGAGAAGACACCTATGGGAGCCTGGCAGCTTGACAAAGGCTTTCTACAGGAGCCTGGGAAAGCTCAGCAGAGGTGAGGGCCTGGGGTGAATGAAAGGGTGGTTAGGCACTCGTTTAATAGTTTAACTAGGACTTGTCATTGGTTCCTAAACAAATAGGCACACGCTGACATTTCCAAAGTGGCTTTTTATACGCTGTGCCACCATCCTCGCTGCCTCTGGTTCAACACAACGCAGAGGTGAAAAATCCGCAGGTGGGTATATAGGTTCAGTCCTCTAGGGCACTCAAACATTGTGTGGCAACTGATGAAACGGATCTGGGTTGCAGAAAGTGTTGGTGTTACACACAGCGCTTATCAGTTAATGTTTCTTTTAGTGCGGTTTTGTTCTACATCACATGTAGAGTGTGCATCTTGATTTAAACTGTGCCACACCCCCTTTCCTCAATCTGATGCATCCTGTGAGGAAGCAAAGACTTCTGAGCTAAAGACCAAGCTTTTGTTTTCTAGTTGGCTTGTGAAAGCTGAGGCGGGGTGTTCTCTTGGTGCAAGGAGTTGCATAGGGGTAGGAACACACACACACACACACACACACACACACACCGGATCTGATGTTAGCACACAGCCAAGATACTGGAGTGAATCTCACTTCTGTTGGAATTGGCTGTTTTTCCTCCCAACTTCAGTGGACTTACAGTAGATCGTAGAACAACCCAAACAAAAACAAAAACAAAAACAAAAAAAACCCCACCACCACCTAGTTACAAAGACTTTTCTCAGTGCCAAAGGCACAAGAGTCCATGGGGGCTTTGGTGAGTCAAACTTTCTACTATCTAGCTGGTTAGCGGGGCTAAAATGCATAGAAAAGCCTGCTTAAATTAAAGGAGTGAGCGGAGAGGTTTGAAGTCCTCAGAATCAATGCAGCAGTCATTTAGGTCCAGAGGTCCAGTCTTGGTGGGCTGGGGGAGGGAAGCTTCAGAGGACCTAAGGACTTCCAACTCAGACACTCCGCTGAGGGCGCTCCTGTTCCTATCTAGCCTGTCAGTCCAGGCGGGAGATAATGTCTCCCAACTCCTGAGCAAAGCACAGCTAAGTTTCGACTTACCACCTGAGGAGTGTGGTAAGGAGTGTTAGGAAAACAGTCGCTCCAACCGACTGGTTCAGTCCAGAAAATGTGAGTACCGTCCAGTTTACTTTCTGTTCGATAACTTTGGAAACGGAACCAACTCGACTGTGGTTCAGAGGGGCTCGGGTCAGTTGACTCTGACTTCTGCCCCTGACCTTGCTTTTCCCAAAGACCACAGATAACTTTGGAAACAGAAATGAGTACTTATCGGGGCCTCATCCTTACCCCAGCGGTGGGACACGCATACCGTGGTTCCCACTCACTTCAAGACAGTGAGACAGATCCACGCTGAAGGATCCCACGAGCCGCCGAACTCAAAACCGAACCTGGACGTCCTGGACTCGCCGCGGGGACGGGGCGTGGGCGGTCCAGAGAGCACCTCCCGCAGGTCCGGGGAGCAGCGCCCGGGCCAGGTCACCTGACTCCGGGAATTTGGGGCCGCGCGGGGTGGGAGTGGCTAGCACCTCCCTCCCGGAGCCCACGGGATCCAGGTCGGTGGGGGCCGGCGCCCGGTGGCCACGTGGTGGTGCTGCCTCTGCCCCCGCCCTGCCGGCGGAGCCCGGGAGCTGAGCGCCCACTGACCCCCGCGTCGGGAGGAGGAGGAGGAGGAGGAGGAGGAGGAGGGACCCAGCGCAGGAAGCCGAGCAGGAAGCGAGCCCGGCGGCCGCGCTTTCCTGGGGAAGCGGCGGGTGGGACGGCCAGCGGGGCCGGGAGCTGAGGCTGCCGCTTGGATGGGGTGAGTGGCGGCGGCGCCGAGCGGGGCGGCCGGGGTGCGGGGTGCGGGCTTGGTCCCCGCCTTTGTGTCTGGGGCTGCGGAGGGCGAGAGCGCGGGGCGGGAGTTACGGTCTGGACACACAACCTTGGCCGCGGAAGACAGTTTGGGGTGGGGTGGGGTTGGGGGAACCGGAGCGATGGTGGGTGGGGATCTAGCAGAAACAGAGGACCGACCAAGTTAGGAGACGGAGCTCGCCTCCTCCGGTGGTCTGGTGCGGTGCGGGGCAGAGGCGCGGGGTGTCCGCGGAGGGAACGCGGGTGGGAATGAATGACCGGACCCGGGAGGACGGTGTGGGTGCGCCCCCCGGGGCAGCCTGTCCCACCTGCGTGCCCTGCCCAGCGTCCGGCTCCCGAATCCTTGCTCCTGGGTTCGACCCGCCTCTCTGCTGAACTTGGAAAAGCCGGGGAAGGAGGTGCGAGCGGGAGACGCCGGGTGGCTCCGGAGACCCACCGTCCGCTATTGTTCCTTTACGGACTCAAGGGAGCCGGTGAACTGGCGGGAGCACGAAGGCGAGACCACCCCCTGGCCCTGGACCCCTGCCCCCCAACCCTCCTTGTCATTTTCCCTCACCACAGCTCCTAGGGCGGCGGGGAGGAGGATGCTGGAGTTGGGGCACACTCCAGGCAGCTGGGCTTAAGGTCGCCATCCGTTGCGACCCGTCTTGGGAGGGCGGGCATCCTTCCTTCAAGTCTCTCCTCACTGCTGGCTTGGGCCAGTTTGTGTCTGCAATTTAGGTTCTGCAGTTTGCGGCGGTTTTTCATTTTGGATTTCGCGTCTCCTTTTTGGGATAGGGTGGGGGTGGGTGGTTTGAGTCTGGAAAGGCAACAGATGGGGGAATTAAACCAGATGGAGCCCACTGTGACTTGAAGAGGCAGGGTGACCTCTCCGAGGCCTGAACTTTATATAAAGCCAGGCTTTCTTTTCCAAGGAGCCCAGCTCAGCGCAACTTTACTCCCAGTGACCAAGTGGTGCAGATGCAAGGCCGTTCACTTGGTACCTGACGCTTCCCTTCACTCTGGGCTCACAGGTGATTGACTGGGATCTGCGGGAGGAAGATCAGCGCAGAGCTGCCAGGGACCAGGAGGCTTTGCTCATTGTCTGTCTGGGGCAGGAGATCTCAAGGCTATAAAGGCTGGCCTGGGGAGGAGGAACTAGTTTGTCTGTTAGTGGGGCTTTCATTGGCTCTTTTAGCGCGAACTTGCATCTCCTATGGGTTTGAACATAGTTGGGGGGGGGGGGCTGTGAATCCCGGGGAGGTTGGACTTTGATTGTTTTGTCCCACAAGTGCTTGTTTACACGTGTGACAGCAAGCTTTTTTTTTTTTTAAACTGATGGAGATTTAATTTTATCTTTTGTTAGCAATAACTTACCAGCGAGGCCTTTTTTCCTTTATGCTTCTACAGCAGCCAGTTTTTTATCAGAAGGAATCCAATTCTTGTTTAATATGGACTGGGAGAGACATCTGGTGTTGGGTTGTCGGTTTTATCTCCATTCACGGAGATGCTTTATTAAAGAATCTGTTGTAGTATTTACATCCTCAGATTTGCTTTTTATGACTTGAAAGGGCAGTGCAGGTGTACATAGTACAGTTGAAAGATCTTTGTACTGTCATTGAGAAACTGAATAAGAATGGATGCCCCAGCCACTGGGGATTCGGTGAGGAAGAAATATGGGGGCCCCATATTTCTTTCATTTGCTATCCCTCGACTGCAACTTCCTGAAGTATGTCAGTGGAAGGTACAACTGCTATCTCCCTTGTTTCTTGTTTGCTGTGTGTGTGTGTGTGTGTGTGTGTGTGTGTGTGTGTGTGTGCGCGCAGGAGGGGGAGAATGGATGCACGTACATAGGTATGTATGTTTCTGCTCGGGCACCGCACCATGCTTGTGGAGGTCTGAGAACAACTAGTCACATCAGTTCTCTCCTACTGTGTGGGCTTGGGGAATTGAACTCAGGTCTTCAGGCTTGGCAGCAAGTGACTTTACCTGCTGAGAAAGCCAGACCCTTTGTTCCTTTTTAATGTTATTGGCTGTCGAACTCAGAGCTGGTCAAACTCGGGGCCTGCAGTGTGCTAAGCTGGGCTCTACCACCGTGTTAACGCTCACCCCCGCTGCCACACAACTTTACAGGTAAAGAAACTGAGGTTTGGAGTTGAGACAGCTGGGTCTTGGTTTGAACAGGATGTAATCTTGACTTTTCCTCTCTTCCTTTCCTAACCTGCTTGTCTTCCAAAATAGAAATAAAAATGAAATATTTCAAAGATAAACAAAAATGGAGCATAGTAAGGCATCAATTTTTCCACTACGTAGGTATGATAACAAAAGACAACACATACTTTATCTGTTCCTTCTTCTCTGCTTCTAGCCTCAGGTAAGCAGGGATGAGGTAAGCACTTAGTACATACATAGTTTCCAAGCATGCTCCGTCCTCCTGTGTGCCTATAAAAACTCATGAGCATTTATGTGTACAGTTTTACATTAATGGCATAATTCTGTATACCTACAGCTTGCTTCTTTAATAATTATTTTGTTTATTTGAGATCCATGTAGATCTTTACTCACAGTGGCTATTACAGGCAAGTCTAATAGCTGAATAATATAGTATATTCATCCCCCTATCAAGTGAAAATTGGTTTCTAGGGCTTAATGGTTAAAGGCACCCTTTTAGCTGAGGGAGGGTCCACTGCATGCATGCATGTATGCATGCATGCATTCATTTATGTAATTGGTTACTGTGGCATGCTGTGTTATAGCAGTGCACATCCTGAGACAGACTTCCTTGCTCACAGATTCGCTGTGCAGCCAGTTGCTGGGATAGTGAGCTCTTGGAAGGCTGCTTGCATTATTTCCTTCATTTCTCAGAGAATATTTAAGTTCTTCCTCAGCCATCTGTTAGATGAAAAAGTGGAAGTGATTACTTTTAAACTCTAACCATTTAGGACTAGTTAGTTGGCTGGATTGTTTTGTTTGGGTTTTCTTATTCTTTTTTCTTTATTTCTTATTTCTTATTATTTTTTTCTTATTTTTCTTATTTCTTAATAATATTAACTATTATTAATAGTTCATCATTTTGCTGAGTTTGGTCTAGCTATGCTAAAGGCTTGTTGGTCCTCTGATCTGGGATTACTCACTCCGTTTCCTCTTCCTCATTTCTTCCCTGTGGGTTTAAGTACGCATGAGCAGAGTCAGGTCTCGGCTCTGTGGAAGTGTGGCTGTGTTGACGGCATGACTTGTCCCAACTCCTCAAAGAAGAGCTAGGCACGCGACACATTGGCCTCCGTGTTATTCCTTCAGATTTCGAGGCACATTCTGTCCCCCTCAGAGTTCTCGCCTCTGATGTCCCTTCTTCCTGGAGCTCATCTCCCCTACCTGGGCTGTGGCCTTTTCCCCCTGAGGTGCTTTCTCAGACACTCCCGCCCAGTGTATCCTGCAACCTCTCCCCTGCATTGTGTCCCTGTGTGGCCCCTGTCCATTTCCACCTTGCCTTATATGTTAATTCAAGTTAGCACTGTCTTCCTGTACTAGAGTTCAGATCTAGGAGGGCAAGAGTTTTGCATCATTTTTAATTACTGTCCCATGAGTATCATGAACAGTGTTGATACATATTGGATAAATATCAATGAATATAAGGTGCTTTTTATTGAATCAGGGTGTAACTGTGCAGTCCTGGCTGGCGGGGAACTTGTTATGTGGACTAGATTGGTCTTTAACTCATGCCTACCTGTGCTCAAGGTATAGAATTACAGACACGTGGCACCAAGCCCACCTATCAATATTATGCTTTATTGATATAAATATCAATATTTTGTTTAACTTTCCTACTTGGTATTTTTTGCCTCTGCTTTCTTCTGCCCATGTTAGACATCTTGGGGGTGTTAGATGTTCTCTGTAGTACCCCAATGTCACTTACAGGTTCTAATGGGATAAAAGAAACAAAGAAACAAACGAAAAATCAGCCTTACAAAGCATCCACTCTGTTTCACTGTATAACTTAGCCGACAGAGTCCTTGTGTCTAGAGGTGTTTTTCACCCCAATGTTTCACCTCAATCTAAATTCAAAGGAAAAACAAGCAACATGATGCCTGACCACACACTCATCTCTCATTTTTCTTGATAACCTGGTCTTCCCAGTGATACTGATGTGAAAGGGGCTGACCTCCCCCCCCACACACACAGCATCTCTCCAAATACGTCTTCACAGTCCCCAGCAACACCAGCCAATGAACGTGTAAGAACAGAAAAGCGTCTCCCTGATGTGCTACAGAGGGGTGTCCGAATCACTCTCAGATGCCTTCATTGGGAAGATTGTGCGATGGGATCTTTTTTATGGTGGAGGGAAAACGACGTTCCCCTGAAGGTCTCAGAGCAGTCAGTGTGCAGCAGGGACCTGAAGGTAACCAGGGTTATAGGAGTCACATCAGAGGGGCCCTTAATTCATGGTACAGACAACCGTCGCTGCACAGTGCAGGCTTTATTTTGCTGGGAGCCAACTCAATTTTCCCTACCATGGGTGATGAGTATAGGAGTTGACAGGACAAAGCTACATGTGTCGAAGGCCTTTGTGTCTTTTCAAAGCGGGTAGGGAAAGGACTCTAATTTTTCTGGTTAAGTATATAGGTAAGCGATACTGACAAGCGTCCTTAAGATACGACTAGAATGCGGAATTACAACCATTTTGTCCTCTGA